GGGGGTTGGGGGAGGAGGGGGCGGCGTGGTGGTGCTTGGTTGGGTTTTAGTAGTGAGCTGGGCTGGGCTGCGGGACACGGGCTGGGCTGCTGGGCTGGGTAACTGAATACGCGCTTCTGGGCTATTCTGAGTTGCCGGCCTATGCTGCAGTTTACCTAAGGGCAACCCCTCAAAAAAAAAAAAACCTAAGGGCAGCCCAGACTTTTTTTTTTTGAGATACGGCCCTTAGGCGACTTTATTCATTAATAGACCGTACACAGTCCGAGTGCAAAGCTGCACTTAGGAAAACAGGGGGAGTAAAAAAAGTCATACTGCTCCTCACAGCAGTAACACCATACCTGGCCAACAAATGAGCTACTTCATTGGCTTCTCTTCCATTGTGCTGAATCTCTACCCCCTGGAAAAGCGAGAGATATGAAGACATCTCTCTGAAGATAAGGCCACTCACCGAGCAGTGTATCTCAGCGTTCCAGTCATCTACTACTGGTTTGCAGTCTGATATGATCTCCACTCTAGGCCATCCTCTGTCCATGGCTAGCAACATGGCATCTCTGCATCCCATTGCTTCGCACACATATGGATCGGTGAGCCCCTCATAAGAGACATACCTTCCTACCAGAAACTCTCCTTTGTGATTTCTTGTGACTACCGCCGTGCTAGCTCTGCCTCCAGTAGCATCAATTGCAGCATCCACGTTTAGCTTCACCACACCTTCTACTGGGGGTTTCCACCTTTCTTTGCGCCGCTGTACGGCCGTGTCGTTGGCTGGTATATTCAGAGCTCTCAGGTGCTCCTGAATTAGTTCCATAGACCTAAGCGGCTGGTACTGCCGCTCACCATGAGTATACTTGTTGCGATCGCTCCATATTGCCCACATCACCGAGATTACCACGGCTGCATCCTCCTTTGCGATGAAGCTGGGGTCGAGGAGATCCCTTGTCCAAGTCATAGGTAGCATCGTAGGGAGGGTACAGCCAAAAAACCTGAGAGCCTCTGCCCAGAACACTTGTGCATGGCTGCAGGTAACCAAAGAATGAAACAAGGTCTCGTCCTCGTGTCCACACAACGCACAGATCACATCCTCGCCAATGTGTCTCCTTGCGAGCTCCGCCTTGACAGGTAGGAACCCTTTCATTACCCTCCTCCAGAAGATACGAAATTTGGGTTGAACATTCAGTTTCCAAAGGCACTTCCAACTTTCCTCCTCTCCTGATGAGCAGGGCAGCCCAGACTGGGTCACTTGAAGGGCAGTCTTGTCTCAAAAAGAAAAAACTTGAAGGGCAGCCAGAGCCAGTGTCGATATCCATTTGTGGTCTAGCCGCCGGCGGCGCCCATGGCAGCCGTGGCCTTCTCTTTTAACAGTACTCATCTAATCTGCCCGGGTTTCGCAGCATTCATTTAGATGTTCCATTCAAAAAATCTAGGCCCTGTTCGAAATCTCTCCACTCCACGGAGTTGTGAAGCTCGGTTTTGCCAGCTCTGTCAAAATGAGCTGAAGTCTGGTCTGCTCCGGGAGCGGAGTTAGAGGAGCGGAGAGGAACCGAACAAGTCGCCGGTGCGATCGGAATCCATCACTGTTATATTTCTGGCCTCTCATGCTTCTTCTCCTCTTATCTTTGTTTCTTGTTAGAGACGACTACAGAACCAAGTGTACAAGGCTACAAGGGTGATTACAGTGCGTGTATTGCATGCTATTCTTGTATGCACGCTGATTATGTCTTACACTTAGTACATATTCTACCTGATATGATATGATATGCTTAGGGGCGTCAAGGTCGGCCAGCGAGACGATCGGGGATAACCTTCATCGTCGATTGTCAGGGGGAAACACGAAACAACCCGGGTCACCGGCTAAGGCCCCTAATTCACCGCTTATGATAAAAGTGGTGGGTGCAAAGCCAGCCAGAAGGTTTGCCTAGAAGCAGCCACCCTTTAGAGAATGCGAGATAGCTCATTGCTCGAGCGCATGAAGATGAACTAGGCTAAGCGTTCTGCCTAAGATGTGGCTCGAGCGCATGAAGATGAACTAGGCTAAGCGTTCTGCCTAATATGTGGGATGTCAAAATGCATCGGTAAAGAAGCGGTCCGACTTCGAGGGAAGCAACCGTGTAGCCATTTGACAGAATTGGTTGATCCATGACTGTTAGTTAGATGATAGCAGCGAGCTCTAACATTCACACCCCCTCCGTCACATGACTTCTGCGTAGCACTGAACTTTCAAACTAGAGACTGTTTTAAGGGCTACTTACTGCGACTACCTGACTTTATTTTGCAGTTCGCATCTTTGCAGGCTCGAGATGGATATTTATGCATAAAATAGAAGGCCATAACTGGAATCATTCAGATGGCAAGTACTCCCTCCGTCCGGAATTACTTGTCATTAAAATGGATGAAAATGGATGTATCTAAAACTAAAATACATCTAGATACATCCATTTGAATGACAAGTATTTCCGGACAAAGGGAGTACAGGATAATGAAACATCAAGGTGGTCTCTTTCAACATACAGTAACAAACATAGGCATGCAGGCAGCCAAACAAAAGCGGCTGCTCCAGGATCTGATGACACCACAATCCACAGAAGGTTCTCTCTCTTTCAACTAACTGCAAACAAGAAGGGACAGATATCCATCTACCATGCCATTCCATTCCATCCATCATCCTAGTAACCCTAGAAGCTCAGCTACAGATTTCTACCACTCATCATCAGCAACCTCTACTAGACCACTACTCTGATCACTGACCAGCTCTGGCTGAACCTGGTTCTCATCTTGCTGCTACTCTTACCTCACCTCGGTTGAACGGTCTCATGGGCTTCTTCACTTGGGGCCCTTCTTCCACAGCCCGCTCATCCTCCGCAGCACGCCGCTGTTGCGCCGCTTCGGGGACTCATCGTCCGAGAACGGCGACCCCATCAGCTTCCCGCCGATGGACCCGTTGTACTCCGTGTCCAGCGACCCGGTCCTCTCCACCATCCGGCCGCCATTGTTGCCACCACCGCCCGCGAGCGCGGCGGCAGCGGCCTCCGCGGCCTTGCGCCACTGGTCGGACTGCACGCGCAGCCGGCGCAGCTCCGCGTCGGCCTCCGCGCTCGCCGCCTGCGCGGCGTCCAGCTGCTCCGAGGCCCGGGCGGCGCGCCGGCTGCTCTTGTCGGCCTCCTCCGTCACGTACCCGAGCCGCATCCGCACGTCCTGCTCCGCCGCCTTGGCCAGCTCCAGCTCCGCCACCGCCGCCTCGTACCGCTGCTGCACGTCGGCCTCCTTCCTGCCCGCCTCCGACTTGAGAGTCTCGCTCTCCTCCGCCAGGCTCTGCAGCGCGTTCTCCTTGTCCATCATGTTCGCCTTGAGCTCCGCGATGTCTGTGATCGACTTCATCAGCTTCGCCTCCAGCTCCGGCTGCATTTCACTCAGCCCGTCTGACCTGTGAAGGTCCTCCTGCGCCTTGGCTGTCAGTGCTGCCTGCGCTGACATGAGCTCGTCGTTCTTGCTCTTCAGCTTGAGCTCAATATCACAGACTTGGCGTGTGCACTCGGACTTCACATTCTCCAGCATCTCATAGACGGTCTTTGTCTCGAAGGTCATCCGAGTTTGCTCCTCCTGGTACCTCATCTCAGCCACCTCAAGCGCCATCCGCAAGTGCTCAATCTCTGGGTCAGGACTTCCACAGCTTCCATTGACGTCACTGGTGGGATGCACGCTCTTTTTCAGAACTTCAGTCAATGGACTGCCAAAGCCACCATTGGCATTGCCTGCCTGTGCCTCATTCAGAATTTCATTACCTGCAGCCTGCGCTTTCTTCAGATCTTCCTCAAGCGATGCTACCCGAGCTTTAGACTCACTGAGTTCTATGTCCTTTGACCTCAGGCATTCCTGCAACCGGACACCCTCAGCTAGGAGTGTGTCAATGGTGGCCTTTGCGGTCTCAAGCTGCAGCTTGGCCTCAGTTGCCATGGCATTCGCATCAGCTGCAGCCTTGTCACTTTCACTGACATTTACTTTCAGGGCTTCAATCGTTGCAAGCCTGAGCTCCATCTCCTGCTTCAGCCCCTCGAGCTCAGAGTCCGCATGCTCACATTGCTTGGCACGGGCTGTATCGGATTGCACCGTCGCCTCCAGCTGCAACTTCAGCCTCTGGATCTCAGACAAGGCCGAGCTGAGTGCAGCGGCATCCACCGACTGCTGTTTCTGCAATGCCTCAAGCTCGGCCTGCCAGGTGCGGTCACGCTCCTGCTGGATCTTGCGCAGCTCCTGGAGACGGGATTCCTCTGCTGCTGAGAGCTCGACAAGCTGGCACTGCGACTCCTCCAGCTTCGACGATGCATCCTGCCCCTGCTTCTTTGCTTCATCGGCCTCCTGCTGTGCTTGGCGCCTTCGTGCCTCTGATGCGCTCAGCTGTTCCTTGGTCTTCTTCAGCTCATCTTGGAGCTGGTTGACCTTAGACTCCAGCTCAGTTAGCCTACTTGGGCGCTTCTTCTGAAAAATGAATGCAGAGGTATTAATTAAGCAATATAAATGAAACTTGCTGCAAAAGATTCTGCGTTTTCCAGTGCTGAACTGATTATAGATGCTAAAGCCTATCATCATACTACTTCCAGGATAGCTACTTGAGGGTGTGTTGGAATGTACAAGGCTTTTTGAGAAATGGAAGTTCAGTTCTTGTAAAATACATTGAAAGGGGTACTTTGGAATGTCGACTGTTTTTGAACTGAACAGAAAGCAGCAAATTTAAATCCACTGAGGGCAATCAGCAACGCAACGACTGCCAAACAAGTAACTTTCTACCTCCGTAACTGGGCTCCGTGGTGAACGGCGCTCAATGACCTTTGGGCTCCTCTCTGTAGGTGTTCTTGTCGGTGTGATCCCTGCGGAGTCAGTTTCATTCCCTCCAGTTTTAGCCACACGAGACGACCGCGGAGTTGCTGGAGACGTCCTCTGCGGAGCATCTGAAGAGCCATTCCTACTGAACACAGAACGACAAAAAAAAACTTAGTATAAAGTACATATCTAATGCTAGTATCTGTACAAGAAAGATGAACAGAGCATAATATTAATTGCTAGTATATATGCTCAGCAGCTTTGCGTTCCAGTTTGGTTATTTATTTCAAACCAAATTGACAACATTCACTTGCAATAGAAAAAAGGTCTATTTCTACAGTGCTGTTAATATGCTACTATCATACAACTATCTTATTGGCTTGACAGAGATAAGATACTACAAATCGTACAACCATCTTAGTGGCTTGAAAAAGATAAAGAAAGAAAAGGCCTAGTCAACACAAGATCTGTAAATATTAGTATTTCACTATGCAGAAGTAAATGGCTATTTTGACCTGCACTGGTCCCAGTACATTAGACACATTTAATACTACAAACGATATTGCCATCATTTGGGTACTGCTGTCCACCGAGGTGGTGGACACTGGCTCAGAGACGCACATGCGTGTGTAGAAAGGACTACAGATGCGCTTGGCAAACAAACACATGCACAAAAGGAAGGAAGGAAGGAAGGAAGAAACACATGGAAGCTACCTGGTTTTTGAGTTCTGCATGATGAGATCCCTCACCAGATCCTTGCGCACTCACTCAACTTCTGCAAGAATCACTACAGAAAGTAAACACATGATTGCTAATTAGCTTGAAGTAACTACAGTGTAAGGTCATAAGAAATCACAGGATGCAGATTACTAGCAGTGCAAAGTTCAAAAACCCACATCAAAGTTAAAATGCCAAGAAAAATGACATAGGGACTAATTAACCTGACATAGTTACAGTTCATGAAAGCTGAAGAAGAAGTGGTGCTATTCATTCCTCTTTACATCTAAATTAAAAATGTGCAGCCTCACACGCCCTATAGCCTCAGGCAGAGGTAACAAACAGTGCACCAGGCTGCACTGCACACAAGGACTGAGGTTGGCCCAATCCAAGGAGCCGTCAGGTTGAAGGAATCCAGCAAACAGCCGCAAACCTACTCCCACTACAAAACCTAAAATATTGCAGACATGGCAAACCACCCTTGATTCATGCAACCGGCACAGTGAGCACCCAAGGGCTGGAATGGGCATCCTTTCCTGCTTTCCAGGGTGGGGAACAATAATGTGAGCCAGCCTGCCTGCCTGCCTGCCTTTCATGGAAGGGAGTAAAGAAATGGTGGTGAAAAATTTCAGAGGGGGAGAGGCTGCGGTAACTTGCACAGTTACAGAGAATGGTGGTAATGAGGCCGTTATTATTATGAATCTGTCCCCAATGGGCGTAGGCTAGTAGTAGATCCTGCTGCTGCAGGTTGAGTGGAGTGGAGGAATGCATTGATGGGGAAGAACAGGTGCAGGAGGGGGTAGGAGGATAAGCATTTGCTGAAAAGGATGATTGGCATTGAAGCACTGTGCGGATTTGTAGTAGTGGTAGAAACTCGCAGTGGATTAATAGCGGATTAGGGCACGGATGTTGTACATTGTACACAAGGAGTAACAGTACTGGGAGGGCCATTTATTCGTGGGTTTGTACTACCCAGCAAGAACAAGGAAAGGTTGGGGCTCAAGAGATTCAGAAAGGAGAAGAACTTGCTCCAAAGAAGAACACATGAAAGATATCAAAGCATCTAATAAAATGTAAACAAGCTGCAAAGTAGGGATGGTGAAAAAAGCAGGAGCTTTTCTTGAACTTGGGCACTAATAGCTGCTCCTGCTCGACAAACCATGGAGGAAACGGTCCCTCGGCCTCTCTCCCCCCATCTTACTCCTACATTCACCGAATCATCAAGAGAAACAAATCTCTTCTTCTTCTTCTTCTTCTTCTTCTCCCCCCTCTTTCCTCACGGAACAAACAGATGCTATATCCAAGAACATGCAGTGGTTTCTGGGAGAGCGGATCGAAGGCACGCCATTGCAGCAGGGCAGGGAGGAAAAATCTCTTACCTCTTCTTCCTTTCACCCTCTATCTCTCTCCTCCGGGCCTTCCTTGCTGTTCTTGTTCTTCTGCTTCTCACTCCTCTCTTTCCACTGCCCCTGTCTGCTACTGCTAGTGTGTGACTGCGTGCGCCGAGCCGAGCGTCTTCTCTTCTCTCGGGTCTGCCATCCCACTCCACGCTCGCTCCCCTTTCGCTCGCTCCGATGGGGGCGGATCTCCTGCGCCCGCTGCGCCTGTGGCCCCGCGCGTGTCCCTTCCGGGGCGTGCGGCGTCGCGGGCCCACCCGTCGGTGCCCCGCCGCGCCGGGCCGTCCGTTCCATCCCTGGTCTCGAGGAGAGAGGAGCGGTCTCTTCTCGTCTCGTCGCCTACCGAGATGGGTGACCTGACGTACTGGCTGGTGGGGTCCGCTTATAGGTGGGCCCGGTTGGTCAGCGTGGTGGATGTGGGGGCGAGGAGGCGTGGCTGGGGGTGGGGGTGGGGGAGTCCCGACGAGCGCTGCGCTGGTGAGTCAAACGGGCATCGCGCCTCTGACCCGGCGTCCATCATCACACAGGAGAAAGGTGAGCTTCGTAGATATTTTTCTTGTTCGTTTGGAATTGGAAAAGGCATGGTAGCACTGCCGAGTTTCCATGTGTTTACTAGGAATTTTATATGAATAGAAAAATCATAGGAAGTGAGATGACATGCATCTTAATTCCTATAGAGAAAGAGATGCCATTTGATGCATAGGATAGGAATTTTTCCATTAAGTCTAGGTTAATGTTTTTTTTCAACCAAAATGTGAAGGATTTATTCCTATCCTACAAGGGAATAGAAATTCATTCCTACAAACCAAAGTGCTTCAAAGGAATTTTTCCTTTGCAAATCCTATCCTATAGAATTTCTATGAAATTCCTACAAACCAAAGGAGGCCTAAATCAAGAGATAAAAGAAGGATGTTCCTACAAGGCTTCACAGAGTTCAGTGATTCTCGGCCGTTGGATCGTTTCTCTTGATGTGTTCTCGTCCGTCCGATCGAGATCTGGAGAAGTCTGGGCCGTTGGATCTGGGATTGACACTGCTGAAATGAATAGTAATGGCAACAAAATGTAAATATCGTGCCCCCACCGGGGCATTTCGGTCATTTCGCCTAGGGGGGTATAAAAGGGGGGCGCTCTGGCGGAGACCTAGCCGCCTCCTCCCTTGCTTGCTCCTGCAGCCGCCTCCCTCCCTCCCTCCCACGCAGCCGCCTCCCTCCTCCCTCGCTCGCTCCTCATCCGGCGACGGCGACGGCGACTCCCGCGCTCGCGTTCTTCCTTTCCCAACACGCCACCGCGTGGCCCCGCACGCCTAAGCGGCTCCCACCAACCACGGCGACGGCGGCAGCGGCCACGGGGGAGGGCGGCGGATCAGCGGCGCCGGCGACGGATCAGCGGCGCCGGCGATGGCGTCCGTGGCGGCGGTGGATTCCTGCCGTCCACTCGATCCCGTGCTCGATCTCCTAGCCCCTCCTCTCCTGCGCTCGTTTCCCTGCTGCCTCTCTCATGCCATCGCCGCCCCATCTCCTCTCGCACTTCCTGTCGCCGGCCTCGAGCTGTAGAGATGCGCCAGTGCTCGATCCGAGCAGCGCGGTCCCTTGCTCGTGCCAGGGGTGCCCCTCCTCCTCGGTCCTCGTCTGTTGCTCTGCTTTCCGAGCACAGGCTGCCACAGCCACTCGGTGCCGCGGCTGCGCCATAGCTCGGGCCGCAAGCACACCGCACCATGGTGCTCCACCTCTGTTGCACTCGTCGATCCGTAGGTATGTCACTATTCTGTTCCGCTTTGGTTATTGGCTGCTGCTAATCTTTATTTTTTTCATCTTTTTTTCATCCAGATTGGTCCACGGTTCATGGCCTTCTGGTCAATCCCCTGGTCAGTGACTCCTTCGATTTGTGCGTGCACATCATCTATTAGCAGCCTCGTCCATCTTCGTTCACGGATCTGTGGGTCAACCCCTCTTCTCCTCCTTTCCCCTCCTATTCTTTCCAGACCTAGGTGTAGGATTATATGGCAGTATGCATTTTTTGCCTCGCTCTGTTCTGCTTGTAGATCATGTCCTTTCTGTTAAAGGCCAAAAGTATTTTTGTCTTTGTGCATTGGATGTTTGTCGTTTCCTTCCTTCACTACTTGTTTTTAGTGGAGCCTAGATATATGCCTTTTGTTCCTTGTCTGGATCTTTGTAGGGCTATGATTGTTGGTCCTTTCACCTTTGTGCATGGAATGTTGGTTATTTTGTTCCTTTGCTTGTTTTATTTATTGTTTCTTTGTACTGTGCTCCTATGATTCAACAATAACCGAGGCAAGGGTGTGATGATCTGAGTTTCCAAATATTGAATTGCAATTATGGTTTAATTGATGTTTGCATTAGTGAGGAGCATGGGTGGTCACACAAGCAGAATGGCCACACAAGGTGTTTTTCTCAATCAGATCACATGCATCTCTTAAAGATAACACCATAGCAAGTATGATTTACAGATTGTTAGATATTATCGGTCTATGCATCGTGTGTTTGTAGTGTTCCTAAATCTAGATATGTTGTTTACATATGTGCTGATTTATGTGACTAAATAGACTAGCAGTTTTGTCAATGGTTCTAAATACTTGCAGCCAGGAAATACCAGTCCCCATACTGGAAGGCTTGTCTATTTTATGTCTTGAGTTGAAAGAATTATTGCCAATTCTGTCAAACATATCTATTAAAATAGTGCTTCTCTTCATATAGTAGAAAAATTATATGAGAAGCTAATGCAACTACTAAAGGTAACAGAGAGGAGAAGAGAAAAGCTTTGCTATGGGATGACATCTTTTTGTTAGGCACATGAATTCTTATTCTGAACAAGTTTAAAATTTGACATGGCGCCGGTTTGTAGGTGCTTTTTCTATATGTATAGATCAGATGCTTTCTACACACTCTTGCTCTTCATAGATCATCTATTTGTCAGCCTATCACTTTATGAGTTTCAAATAACAACCTAGGTCTTGCAGAATGCAACTAGATGAATTTTAGGCCTATGCTCACTCGCCGTTTGTTGTAGGTGTTCTCTCATTGTCGTACTACTGGCCACCTCTCCTCTCCATGGCACTCAATTATGTGACATGAGCCTGTTTTGTGTCAAGCACGGCTATCCCAATGGTGTAGCTGTCGTTGTACAGAGTTGTACTTCCTTGCTGGAAACCTTTCCAATTCAGGTATACCACCTCCCTCCCGTCTTTTTCGTTCTTTTATGCGATTCATGATTTATGGACGTGTGATGTGGAATGTCTTTAATGGTAAATTTTTGGATCGTTGTTTTATGGTCGATACAGCTGCAAAAGCAGATATGCAAATTTGAGACCAATGATACTGTGCTTACTAAAAATAACAACTCTGATAATTGCACAGACGATAGGTCTGAAACTTTTATTTACATATTTACCTTCATTTTTTCTGATAAGAGTATCCTCAAAGTATGGCAACTATTCACTTACTTAATTGTTGTTGGCCTTTTCTTCCTTTACTTGTACTCATCGAAACCTTTCCCTTTTGTTCGTAGTGGTGTCAGCTATGAACTGGAGAGAGGTGTTTAGACTCCCTAAGATGGTATATGTCGTTGAGGAGATGTGATCTCCGAGCAGCCCTTCTCATAGC